AACGTCTGGGTCAGTCTCTCAAAGAAGCTTCTAGCTTTTCCTTCCAGCTGCCTCCCTCCCTGTCTTCCTCTCGGGTGCACTGAGGAGCCTGCTTCAACCTGGGCTCTAAGGTTCCTCCGGGATGGAGACAGAGGGGGAGGGAGGGGGAGAGAGTGAGCACGAGCAGGAAGGGGGGAGGGGAGCAGGGGGGAATAACCAGTTTTGTTTCTTTGTCAAATGTACTTCACCTCTACACTGAGGTACTACCCAAGCCTCAGTTATTTATCTGTCAAATGGGAAAACAATAGACCCTAAATGAGAGAGCAGTGCTGGGAATTCTCTGAGACACCAGGGGAAACATTCGGCACAATGGAGGCAGTGGGTGCCTAATAAATGTTTGCTACCGTTATAATAATCACATCCCATCTGTATCTGTCCCTGCGCCCACAGCCTGGAAAACAGTAGGTGCTCAGTAAATACTGAGCTGAACGGGACGAGGGAAATACAGCGTGTCGTGGGGACTAGAGAAGAGAGAGTTGGGGGAGCCCAAGGGCGCAGCGGGACCTCAAGGGAAGAACAGGATGAAGGGTCGTCCCAAGAAGGGTGTTCTGAATCGGGGGGCAGTGAGTCAGGGTGGAGGGGAGGACGTGGTCCAGTCTGTGTGTGATGCTGGACGGACAGCAAGGAGAAGGCTTGACCGAAACAGAGTGAGGAGACCCTTCCCGCCCTGTGGGAGCCGAGGAGGGGGAGCGGGGAGGAATGGGTCAGCTCCCAGCTTCACAGACCCGGATGATGACAATCTGGGAGCATCATGACGGTGCCCGGATAGAAGGTGCCCCCTGAGTGTCTGTTGCTTCCCACCCCTGCTGTAGGAGCTTTAAATAAACATCGATTTTAACCCCATTGCAAGGTAGGGAACCGGAGGCTCAGAGAAGTGACTTGCCCCAGATCACGTGAGTGACAGAGCTGGGACCCAAACCCAAACATGGGCAGATTCCCAGCCCGGGATCTGAACCACCCCTCTGGGGGCAAGGGGCAGGGTTCCCTCAGGGTCCTCAGAATCATCTGGAGGACCCAGGCTCAGATTGCTGAGCCCTCTCAGCAGAGGCCCCAGTCTCAGGTTCAGCAGGTCTGGGGTGAGGCCTGAGAATCTGCATGTCTAACACGTTCCTAGGTGCTGCCAGTGTTGCTGGTCCAAGGACCACGCTTTGAGGACCACCGTCTTAGGGGATTCACTCGGGGGACATCCTTCTGCTGGAAACCCAGGTATGCATCTCCCTGGGAGCCCTTCAGAGTTTGCTGCACTTTTGTGGCCCAAAATCAAGGGTACCGGACCCCCCGACTCACTCAAACACTCACAGAGGGGCTTTCTGCGAATCAGGCACCATGGTGGGAGCCGAGGGCCTGGGGTCCTACCCTCGAAGACTCCCCGTCCCTCCCCGGGAAGAGGGGAGGCTTGAGGTCTGGAGAGCCAGGCAGGGGGCAGGCAACAGCTTCCAGCTCCTTCGGCAGGCCTGACAAGTTCACTCTGGCGCCCCAAGAGGCTGAACGGGCAGCCAGGCTGTATATCCAGCCCAGCCAGATGTGGCACATTCCACACACAGATACAGACACCTGCTGTTGACTCAGCAGAGAGGAGCTGCCCCGGCCGCCCCTCCGGTTGGGTTCCCTACCCCGGGAATCCTCGCCATGTTGCATGCCAAGGATCCAGAAATAGAGATCCCCGGCCCTGCCCGCGCCCTGAGAACTGGGTCCTAGGGGATGTTGCAGCAAGGAAGGATCGGGGGGAGCAGGGGACTTGCCACGCTGGGAGCTTATGTTGTCTCATGAGACACAAGCTCCTGGTCAACCACCCATGGACAAATCCCAGCCCCGGGGGTCACAGGTACTTAACCTCCTAGAGACTCAGTTTCCTCATTTGTAAAGGGCAGATAAGAGTGCCTACCCCATAGACCAGTCATGAGACCATCATTCACTCAACAAACATTTACTGAGCACTTACGGCACACCAAACAGCATTCGAGGGGTTGGAGGTAAAACAGAGACCAAAGCAAGTAAAAGCTGTGTCCCCGCGAGCTGCCATGGCAGCTGGGGGACGCGGTGGGACAGCCGGCACAGGCTCTGGAGCTAGGTGCCCGTGTCTCTATTCGGTAACCCCACTTACAAGCTATGTGACCTTGGGTAAGTTAACGAACCTCTCTGTGCCTCAGTTTTCGCATCTGTAAAATAGGGCCCCGGGAAAGCGTTGCTGTATGCGTTAATAAATGTAAAGGGGTTTGAGTAGTGCCCGGCAAAGGACAAGGGTTATGTATGTGTCAAAGTTAAAGAAGGCAATAGGAGCGCCTGGGTGGCTCCGTTGGTTGAATCTGACCCTTGACTTCGGCTCAGGTCACGATCTCATGATTTGTGAGTTCGAGCCCTGCGTCGGGCTCTGCACGGACAGTGTAGAGTCTGCTTGGGATTCTCTCTCTCCCTTTCTCTCTGCCCCTCCCCCTGCTCACGCTCTCTCTCAAACTAAATACAAAAATTTTAAATATAAATAGGGGCGCCTGGGTGGCGCAGTCGGTTAAGCGTCCGACTTCAGCCAGGTCACGATCTCGTGGTCCGTGAGTTCGAGCCCCGCGTCAGGCTCTGGGCTGATGGCTCAGAGCCTGGAGCCTGTTTCCGATTCTGTGTCTCCCTCTCTCTCTGCCCCTCCCCCGTTCATGCTCTGTCTCTCTCTGTCCCAAAAATAAATAAACGTTGAAAAAAAAAATTTTTTTTTAAATAAAAAAAATAAAAATAAAAATAAAAAAATAAAATATAAATAAATCAGTAAGATGATAAATATCCAGGCCCTCGAAGGGGCTGCGCTCCCTCCTCCCTCCCCCTGCCTGAGGCCACACCACCCACCTCCTCGAGCAGGCCATCCACAAAGTTGACATGCCAGGCGGGCAGAGACGGGCAGGGCTGCAGCCTTCAGAGAGGCGGGTTTCCGATGGGCTCAGGCCCCTGGCAGGTGGGGTGCGCGAGCAACTCTTGGCGGGGGGTGCCGCGCAGGAGCCCAGCTCACCTGCCAGCTCCCAGGGGTCCCCGGCCCCCGGGGGGTGCGTACCCTCGGCCAGACCCCGCTACCCGGAGACCTCCTCACCCTCACCGCTGCGGCCGCGCCTGGCTTCACTGGCTCCCGGGGAAACTCTGAGCTCAGTGCTCTCGTCTGAGGTTCAGCGGGACGGGCGCGGTGGCCACTCTGAGCGCTGCTGGCTCAGCCGGGGAAGTGCAGCCTTCAGATGGCGAAATCGGGCTGCGTGTCTGGCCCGGTGATACAGCCGCCAGGGCAGAGAGCGAGCTCCGGGGGCGGGTGTCTCACCGGCTCTGAGAGCACTCAGTAAATATTAAACAGCCCCTGGCATGCCAGACAAGCTTCCAGAAGGACACGTGCCACCCGGTGGCCCCAGCCCTCACGTGAGGCCGCCGGGACGGCCTTTCTGCCTGATCGTCGTGGGGAAACACTTTGTCGGAGGCCCGGTGCACGGCTGCTGCAAGTGCGGGACCGGGGGGCAGGCGGGGCTGGGTGTGGCTGGGGGGCAACGATGGGACCAACTGGACACGTTTCGTGTGAGGACTCAGTGGGCCGACGGTGTAAGCTAACCCTGTCTCTATGCCTGGTGGCCCTGGATGGGTGGGCACGATGAGGAACAGAGCAGAGCAGGGAGAGCACCTCCGCCATATCCTCTTTCTCCAACCTCCTTTCCTTGAAAATCAAAGGTTTACTACTTAGTTTTCACACCCCCACTTGCCGGCCATCTCAGCAGAGGAATTCCTGAGGTGGTGAGGACCTGGGAGGGGCTCCTAGCTCAGGAGGGTACCCTCCTGACAGCCTGGGGGAGAGGAGACCTGGCTGAGGAGGGACCGGAAGGGGGTAAGAGCAGCCACGCCTGTGAATCGGGGCAGAATGGGACAGCATCATTCATAGCAATCATTCACACCTTAGTATAAAATTTCCCCACCAGATAGATCACTTCCTCGGGTGAATTCTTTGATTATGGAATAAAAAGCCATGTCCAGAGTCAAAAGGGTTTCAGGTGCCAGGGCAGGGGCAGAGGTTGGACAAAGGGGACATCAATGAGCTTCAATCCCTGGCTCTCCTATCTGAGGTTATTTTTACCTGCCCTGCCCCAGCCACTGGGTGCCTTGGCAATGTGTTTGTGATTCAGCCTGGTTGGATTACCTGAGAAATAAGGCCAGAAGGTGAGGTCTGAAACACAATCTAGGCCGTCCAGCCCCAGAGCCAAGGGTCCAGACTCCTGGGAGCCAAGGGTCCAGACTCCTGGGAGCTGGCCAGAGACAGGAAGTTAAAAATAGATGCGCTCCTCCCCATCCTCGTGGGCAGCTTCTTCCTTACCCTTGGAAAAGGGCACTGAAGAGACTAGATGGTGGCCCCTCAGGGACCTCAGAACCCACCCAGGCTGGTGGCTCCAGAATTCTCCAGAATTCTCAGAGCAGGAGAAGGAGAAGGAGCCACCAGGAGAGTGGCTATCCCAGGATATTTACAGCCATCAAGGTCATCTGTCTTAGACCGGGATGCAGACCTTGCCAGACGTGATCTTGTCTTTGCTGATGGCCAGTGAGCCATAGCAGGACAGGGTCAGACCTCTCTGTCTTCTTCCCACCCAGAGTGCTGTCCTCAGGAGTCCTTGGGACACTACCTGGGCAGAGCTCCTGACTGGGGCCTGTGGGAACATTCCCATGGAGGCAGGAAGTCCAGAAGTCCCCCAGGGGCCTGGCAGGGGGAGAGCTGCAGGCAGGACCAGGCACAGAATTCATGAGGCCCAGTGCAAAAGAAAATGCAGGGCCCTTTTTTCAAACTGTAGTAAGGGTTTCCAGATGGCGGGGCGCCTGGGTGGCTCAGCCGGTTAAGCATCCAACTCTTGATCAGCTCAGGTCACGATCTCACAGTTCATGGGCTGGAGCCCTGCATTGGACTCTGTGCTGACAATGTAGAGCCTGCTTGGGATTCTCTCCCTCCTCTCTCTCTCTGCCCCTCCCCTGCTTTCACTCTCTTTCAAAATAAATAAATAAACATTGAGAAAAAAAAAAAAGGAATTTCTAGATGGCAACACCAGAGTATTACGTGAGCACAGGGCCCTAGTGAGCACACAGATTGTATACTCACGCACTGGCCTTGGCTGCCAGGGTCTGTGAAACCCCCCTTCAGCGCCCTCCACTGCCAGACCATGGTAACAAAATCCCCATAGTGCCTCTGTGTGAGTTAGAGAAAGGTACCCCACCCTGGGTGAGCCAGCTGCACGCCAGGGCACACAGCTTGGGAGGATTACGTGGACTGGATGGCCCCCTTGGCTGGGTGACCTGTGCAACTGTCTTTAGCAGCCCTGATTACAGACCCCATGGTGGGGGGGGGGGGGGGGGGGGGGGGGGGCCTGGTGACGCCCAGAAGAGGCAGCTCAAAAGTGGTTCTGTTAAGGAACATGATCATTCCCTGGCCAGTTGACTTAATCCTTCTCAGCCGCACTTACGGAGTGCCTAATGTATGCCTTCCTTGTGGTGGCATCCACGCTTTCTCCTCTTGGAGGCTGGGCGTCAGAGGGACTGGGTGCTCACTCTCTCTGGGGCTGTGTTTTCCTGTGCTTCAGCTCTTTAGTGCCCCCCCCCCCGCCTTGCACTTTGCATGTCCTTGCTGTGGTTCACAAAGCCCCGCAGCCCTCCCTCTCTCACGTCTATCCCCCAAGACAGCCACACACCCACTTTCTGTGCCTCAAAGCTCATCCCCACCTCGGGACCTTTGCACTGGCTGCCCCTTCCACCTGGAAGACGTCCCCAGCCCTGCATGCTCTCTGCACGTGAACATCAACTTATCTTCTCTCTGGCCTTAAAGGTGCCCCTGCCTCACTGAGGGCCTCCTCTGAGAGCCCTGCCACCCTCCCACATCCCCGTTTTAATTCCTTCACGTGCCACCAGCTGAATCCATCTTGATTATTGTTGGCTTATTGTTCGCTGCCCTGACAGGAGGGCGGGGCCCGGTTCCGTCCCCAGGGCCTGGGCAGAGTAGGTGCTCCATAAATATTTGGAGAACGAATCAGGGATTCCTAAGCACGCTTCCAGCTGAGACCCTCCAGGATTTCGGCCCTGAGACCCACTCCTCCGGGCACGTGCTGGCACTGAGCGGCCAGGAGACAAGTGGGCGAGCTGAGAGAGTTGGACCTCAGGGACCAGGCATCACTGGGGGGGGGGGGGGGGGGGGGGGGGGGGGGGGGGCGAGTGTGCAGCTGAACCCCAGGGAAAGAGCCACAGGAAGGCCCGGTCTGGGGCACGGGTGGTCCACCTCAGGACACGGCAGTGAAGCCAAGGCCCAAAGGACATTAAGCAGCCCCTGGCCAGGTAAGGAGGAGTCACAGGAGGGGCCAGGTGGAGGGCCCGGAGGAGAGAGCAGCCAGTGTGACAGGGAGCTGTTTGTTAGGCCGCGTGAGGAGTCCAGATTGCATTCTCAGCAGATGGGAACCCCTGGCAGGTTTCAGGTAGGAGAGGGCCGTGACGAGCCCTGGCCAACCCTGCTTGGCTGGGAGTCCTGCCTGTCCCCCACATTTGCTCAGCCAGGCAGATGTTTGGGCCCCTCGGGCTTGGGCCACTCGCGATGCCTGAGGGATTGCCCCACCCCTGGGCGGGCAGCTCCCCAGGCTTGCACAGTGCCCGACATGAAGGCCAGGACCAGTCTGTGGCCCCCAGGAGTGGAAACGAACCTTCCTTCCGGGAAGTACCTGCAGCCGAAGGAGACTCGTGGAACAGCCATGAACTCACGTCCAGTGGGGCAGCCCTGACCCCAGGCCCATCTCTGCTGTTCCTCCTCCTTTGAAAATTTCCTGCAAGCACCTACTGTGTGCCAGCATGTGCCGGCTGCTTGCCTTGTGTCACCTCATCGTACGCTCACAACAACTCTGTCGGGGAGGGACACTCGTGATCCCCATTTCACGGATGAGGAAACCGAGACTCAGAGAGGTGAAGTCACTTGCCCCAGGTCACAGAACTGGGATAGGTGGCCCCACGTCCCATTCTATCAAACAGGAAGAACATTCCATCCTGACCCCGCCCCCAGACTAAGTTCCAGGGCTGAACGAACCAGTCTTGCTGTGTGACCTTGGGTGAGCAGCTCCACCTCTCTGAGCCTGTTTTCTGATCTGCTAAGTGGGCCTGATAAGCTCACGCAGGTGACTTCCAGGACCAACTGCCAGGAGCATGTGACATGAGACGGCTTCGGGTCTCAAGGAAATTACAGGTTTCTCCCAGCACCAAGTGTCACACGCGCGCACACATACACACACACACACACACACACACACACACACGCGTGCGCGCGCACACACTGTCCTGGGCTGCAGACTTGGCATCAGAGAGAGCTTCAGGGTCACAGGCTGCACAAGACGATCCAGCCCTGTACCCTCCTCACGGGCAGAACTTACGCGATCCTCCGGCTCTGTGCGCTGCTGAAGCCCGCGAAGGAGGCGCTCCGGCCCACGACCCCCACGGCCCCCGCGTCCCCAGAGGACAGGAACCGCAACCTCACCGACATGGCCGTCACCTACAGGGAGAGGACAGGAGAGTCAGCCTCGCACTGCCGCCTGTCGAGTGCGGGTCTCGGCTGGTCCCCCTTCACCACGGTCCCCAAGGTCCTTACAACAGCCCCACAAAGGGGGCAGCTGGTACCATCCCCAGCTCACAGATAAAGCTCAGTGAGGCAAGGGAACTGTTTGGGGCTGGCAGCAGGAGCGAGATTCGAACCCAGGTCTCTGTACTCTGTGCTCAGGTTCTTAATGGCTGAGCAATGCTGAGGCTCCGGCAGGGGGGAGTCAGCTCCTCCTGAAACCATACCTGATCTCTTCTCAGCTACTCCTCTCTGCTAGTAACCCTCACCCCCCTCCACAAACACTCATGGAACGCTGTGTGCCAAACACTGTGCTGGAGACACGCACTGAGCAAGACAGGCAGAGTCCTTGCCTTCCAGGGCTCCCGGTCTGGCAGGGAGGCTAATGAGCCACCAGTTACGGGGGGACCCAGGGGGTACTCGACTTAGCCATGGAGGAGGCGATCAGCTGCTGAGAAGGAAAGGCTGATAAGGGGAGAAGGAGAAGGGAGAGGGAGGGGAGGGTATCTGAGGCAGAGGGAACAGCATGGGCAAAGGCCCGGGGGTACAGAGGACACGGCGTAAGCCAGAAACCGAAAGAAGAGCTGTGGTTTGGGCCGTGACTCCAGGGGAGGCTGGAGAGGCCAGCAGAGTGCAGCTCCTGCGGGGCCTTGGTAACCCCAGGGAGGAGTTTGCCCTTGCAATTGGGCAAGGGTGACTGGGAGCCATGAGAGGGTTTTGAGCAGGGGTGACAAAGCCCAACTCACATGAGGCCAAGCTGCTGGCATCCAGGCCCTCCAGAATCCCTGGATCCGTTGCCCCATCTCTGATCCAGGCTGCAATGAGGCCAGCCTAGAACCCTGGCTGTCTTTTCTTTTTTCCAAACCGCCTCTAGGTTGGAAAAACGCCACCGTATCCCTCGGGAGTATCTCCAGTGCCTTCCAGCACCGACAGTCGAAGGTTCTTCTGCATATCTGACCTGAATCTCTGCTGCTGCGTTGCTCCTCGGCCAGGGTGGAGACAGTCCGAGGATTCCAGGGACCCCACTGCTGAAGCCAAGCCTCTAAAAAAGCTCCACTGCACCACCTCCCTCATATCGCTGCTTGGTAAGGCCCCTGCGTCCCAACATCCGTCCACCTGCCAGAGTCCACGCCTTTGCTCAGGGCTGGGCCTCTCCCTGGAATAATGTTCTCTTTCGAGCCACGTCTGTCCAGCATCCCGTCCTGCATTTTATGTGTGGTCAGCCCCCACCATAGGCTCCAGGGCCCCCCTGGCAGATCCGTGCGGCCCCCACAAGACTTCCCCTCCTCCTAGGCTCCCCCCATCCCCACCCCACACTGCACTGTACATAGTGCTGAGGACTGGAAACCAAAAGGCCAGACCTGGGCTCAGACCCCAGCTGTGCCACTCGCTGGCTCCGGGCCCCGGCGGTCACGTTTGCAAAGCGGAAAGTCAGAGAAGGACCAAGGAGACCGTGCGCTGAGGGTGCACCACGCGGAAGGGAAAGAGCTGGTTGTCTCTGTGCCGTTGGCCACAGAGGCCCCCGCCCCGCAGGGAGCTACAGAGGCGGATGAGCCCGGGGAGCGCCCTCCAGCCCTGCCGGGGGAAGCTGGCGAGTGTTTGCTGAGCACCCACTGTGTGACAAGCCCCAGCACCAAGGACTGTCACATGCTGTGGATCCTTGAACAGCGGCCCTGATGGGAGCCACCGTCTGTTGAGTGCTGTTACTAAGTCAGCCCTGCGCTAAATGTCTCACGGAAATTATCTTAGCAAATCTACGCAGCCCCTGAGGCCTGGGAGCTGTTGCTGACCTACTTGGATAGATGGCGACATGAGGCCCAGAGAGGGGACGAGACTGGCCCGAGAAGCCCGCGTGGAAGCAATGAGACAGGTTTGGAACCTGAGTGCGGGCGGCTGCAGACGCCATCCCTTCCGACTGTGCGCACTCAGACGTCCCTGTCCCGCCTCTAGATGTCCCAGCCCCACAGGAAGGTCCCCACGCTCCCCGCCTGTGCCAGGCAGCTGCCAGCCTGGACCAGCCCCTGAGCGTCAATCATTACTTTCTTGGGAATTTTGGTAGCTTGAAATCAGCCACGGCAGGAATGCGTACACCCTGGATGTCGGCAAGTGCTACAAATTTGGGGTTTTTTTGTGGTTTTTTTATCCCTGCAGGTTAGTGAGCATCTATCAGTACACCATTGCCCCACCACTAGCGGTGTGTGCTCAGGGTGGCACCGGGGACCTTCTCGAACTCTTAAGAGCCCCCAGCCAAGCTGGGCAAGGGAATGAGGGGGTAACAGGGAGGGACATCACTGGGGTCACTGGTTAGGAAGAATACTCTGGTGCCAGCCTGGGGACTGGGGGCTGGGGACTGGGGGCTGGGGGCTGCGGGCTGGGAGCTGTGGGCTGGGGACTAGAGGCTGGGGGCTGGGGCTGGGGACTAGAGGCTGGGGGCTGAAGGCTGGGGGCTGCAGGCTGGGGGCTGCAGGCTGGGGACTGGAGGCTGGGGACTAGAGGTTGGAGGTTTCAGGCTGGGGACTGGGGGCTGGAGGCTGTGGGCTGGGGGCTGCGGGCTAGGAGCTGCAGGCTGGGGACTGGGGGCTGGGGACTGGAGGCTGGGGGGTGCAGGCTGGGGACTGGGGGCCGGGGGCTGCGGGCTGGAACACCCTTCCCCTACCTTCCCTGCTCCATCAGTTACAGTAGACTGCGGATGGCAACTTCTCTGCTCCCCCATCAGACAGAGAGGGACCTGCAGGCGGGGCTAGAGTGTTCTCTGGTGCTTGGAAGATTCACAGCACATCCTTATGGGACCAGAAACAGTGCCTAAAAGGCTGGGCCTGCTGCTGCCACGGTACCAGGCTGTGCAGCCCATGGTGCCAGATAAGTGGAAGCCTCAGGCTAAGGATAAAGATAAGGATGGGGATAAGAATTTCCACTAAGTGCTTGATTCCAAGGCAGGGGCTGACAAACATTTTCTGTAAAGGACCAGATACTAAAGTTTTTGGCTTTGCAGGCCATATACTCTTTTAAATACCCACAACTATTTAACTCTATTGTTTTAGAGCAAAAGCAGCCACAGACATTATGGAAATGATGAGCATGGCCACGTTCCCATAAAACAGTACTTACAGCTACTAATGGTTGACCCGTGGGTGCCCAGCACCCTCCGTGCTACCGACTCTAAGGGCTTAAAATCTCATTTAATTCTCCCGACGTTATATCAGGTAAACACGATTATTATCCCCATTTTGCAGATAAAGAAACCGAGGCTAGAGAGCAGAGGAAACGACTCATCCAAGGTCACACAGGTAGGAAACAACAGAGTTGGGATTTGGACCCGGGCATAACGGGCCTTAAAAGCCTGGTCAATTCATTCAAGGTGGCACCTGTTCCCCGGGGGGCTGTGCTGAGGACATGTCCCCACCCAAGAGCCAGACCCAGGCTGAATGGAAGCAGGTCCTGAAAGGGACCTGCCAAGCTAGAAGCCTAGCATTGGGGGTGGCCAAGAAAAATCAACCCCATCCCCTGCAGGCTTCAGGGTGTGGGAGCCCGGGTCCCTGGGGGCTTCTCGGGACCAGCATCAGTTCCCAATCAGCTCAGCTGCTCCAACAGGGAGGCCAGCTGTCACCCCCAGCTTCCCCCACAGGCTCTGATGGGGTTAATCCTGACTGTTGACTGGTTGGCCCCCTGCGATCTCACCCAGCTGGGTTTCTTGCTGCAAAAACATCTCCCTTCTGGTAGATGGGCTGGGACGGCCAGGCTGAGACCCCTAAGATCTCAGGAGCCTTCACTGGGCAGCCCCTGACAAGACCCCGTGAATGTTGGTCACTTTGGACCAAGGCTGATATTCTCAACGTTTAATCAGTGACCCAGCAGGGGCACTGACCACTCTGAACAGAGGTCGGCGCTCAGAGGCTCAGGACAGCCCTGGATATAGCTGGCACTCTGCGGGGCAAGAGAGATAAGCCAGAGACCTCGCTGGGCCCCTGAGCAGAGGAGAGAGGCACAGAAGTCATGCAGGTCCCAAACCTTTGGTGGCAGACAGGACTGCCTCGTCCCCGTGCGTCCCTCGCTGCCTCTCGCTGGCTTGGTACCCTGGGGCAGCACCCGCTTAGACGGATGGCTTGGACACAGCTGGTGAGTGCAGCAGGGGCCAGGACACCTGGAGGGGCTTCTCACACAGCCAGCGGCTCCCCAGACACTGGAACCGTCGTCCGGGACCTCCTCCCCCAGGCGCGGCTGGAAGGAGCCTGAGCCCACTCCGCTAAATCTGGCCAGCTCACTGCTGGCCAGAACCGCCCGCCAGCCCAGGGAACCTACAATTTCACCTCATTTGGAGGTGATGCTTCTAAATTTAGCGGCGTGGGCTCTCAGGGCTGGGTGGCTTTTATGCCTGAGTCCCTCACTTAGGGCTCTTTTATATCCGCTCAAATGCCAGGCAGGGCTTAGTTTGCTTATAGGAGTTTCCAAAATAGTCCCTTTGGTTTAGCACGAAAGGAAATGGTAAAATAGCCCAGGATGAGGAATGTGAGTGTATACCTAAGAGGGATGGGCGACCCGCGGAGGCCGCTCTGGGAACCAGACTACTGTCTGCACCAGATGGAGGGCAACTCCCTCGTTTCACCGGCGAGCACGCCCAGAGTGGTCACGTGACTTGCGCGGATCACCCAGAGGTGAATGGAAGGGCCAGAAGAATCCACGCCCCTCCCCCCTGCCAGCTCCACGGCTGCAGACACCTCCAGGCCTCTGCCCAGGCCGTGTCCTCTCCCTCCCTGGCACGCTCTTCCCCCAGGTCTCCCGGGAGGACCCCTCCCGGCTTGAGATCCCAGCAGAAAGGTCACCGCCTCAGAGGGGGCCTCTCTGGTGCCCCCTGGCGACAGCGGCCTTACTCTTCACCCTGTTTCAAATCCTGCAGAGGACTCACTGCCGTCCCAAATTGTCTTGTCAAGGTG